AGGTCCATAAAGTATACATACGTTTTAATGAAAATTAAAACAATATTTTGTTAAATGGAAGAATGCTAGCTAGCGATTAAAATAATTCGTTTTTTATCGAAGGTAAATGTAGCTAGGGCCTAGAGAATATACTACTTAGATTGCGACAGAACACGCTGCTGCACTGTCGTTGGTTCTGGTCGGCTAGGTTAGGTAGTGTAAACTCACAACTTCTCTACAGTAGTTTACAATAATTTTTGAACGAATACCACTTGGTACTAGAGGTTCGTAAAATACAGTAGATGTTTTATTAAACAAGCTTTTCCGTGTGACGTCGACGGCCTGAAACTGGCTGGCTGTTTATCTGGCTCTAACCTGGCATCGAACGCAATTAGGGGATTATCGTTTCATGTTTCAAGAAGGGTATATCTAGATAAAAGTTCGACGTGAACCAAGCTATAGAGATTCTATTCTGGGACCATTGTGGAAGCGGTTTGGCGCAGCGGGAACGGTTTGGTTTCCCACTTTAACTTCTAATGACAAAATATTGTCTTCAGTTGTATTTTTTGGTCATTCTATTTATTTTTTCGGTGATATTACCATTCTCAATAATCTATAAAACACCCACATAACAACATTAACAATAAATGACAACTTTGGTTTGTATCATATCGGTGTTGACTTCGTCGCCGAATTGATAAAAAAAAACAACGTCGTAAATACAAGTGCATATAGTGTTTTCTTCGTTTTTTTTTAATTATATTTTTTCCTCTGCAATTTTAGGCGATTGTATAACCGCAATCATTTATATACAGTATACATTTTCATAAAAATAACTATAATGATTAGTCTACATCCTCGGCTTAGACTCTCATATCTAGGCCTAGTAGCCTAGTACTATTTTGTTTTATTGCTGCGAATGAAGCAGCCAACTTAATTCATATTCTCGGACAGCAATTTGACCTCTGAAAGGTCACTGTTTGTCAAAAAACGAGCGCCTAAGACGACTGAAAAGCGGAGTTTCCTTCTTTCGTTCTGCTGGGTAAAATCAATTACTTTAGGCGACGTTTGTAGACTAACATACTCGTACCAACGTCCGCATGTCGCGCTAGCCTTATCCTACTCTATGCCAGACTAGCTAGGATGGTATATAGGCCTAGCCTTGAAGGGACGAAGGTCCCAATGAAAAACAACGTCGCTCTTTGATAGCTAACATCGTCTATTTAACATCACAATAATTCATTATTAGACCTATAGTTGTTTTTTGAATTGTACTCCACAAATCTCAGCCGATACCTCGCACAAATCTTATTGTCGTGACGTCATGGCTCGCTGGCTCACACTTGTGATATGTCTCGCACTTGTGATCAAATAACACGCTGGCTCGCACTTTGGCAACACTCTTTGGCAGTCAACTCGCCCAGAAAACCCGCCCTTGGAAACTTGGCACATAAAAAAATGTACACTTCCTAGACCATGCAGTCTTCAAAATAAAAATTGTAACCTTTGGTAATCAACTACATTTTCCACATACATAGAAATTTTTGAAACTTTATTAAAAAAAACCTAAACCATAATTCACCACACTATAGACACTTTCTGACAAAAATGAAAAATTACGACTTTGTTACCAATGAGAAGTTCTAATATAGACAATGGGTCGTGTCTCATATTATTTGTTATAGTTTTATTATTCATTATTTTCACTTTACTCGCATAAATAATTTTGTTCGAAGAACATTTATATGCAGTTGTACTTCGCAGCACTTCACTTGCAATTTGCAATTTCTAGTTTAGCCATTTTGCCAATTACCATACAGTCCGTCATTTTGGAAGCGTTGCCGCTTTGGTTTATTGCCGTTTTGACATATTGCCGTTTTGGTTTTTTGCCGTTTTGACCTGTTACCAAAACGATACTCAACCAAAATTCGTACTCAACGAAATCAACCAGTCGAATAAGCCCAAAATGTCCATTGTTTGTCGTCGTCGGTAGTCTTTAGCCAATGTAAAGTAAGTGTGACTAAAAATGTATTTAAACTTCTCACTGACCTGTCTTCTTTGTAGAAAATAGTTACATCGAAACTTAATTGATGTAGTGAGAATTAAAACATAGGCCTGATGTAGCCTAATATATGCCATAATTAACCGTAGCCTAGGCCTACTAGGCCTATGTTTAGAGCCTAACGGGGCCTGAAAACATCTCGATAGGATATCCTGCATCTGCGTGGATATTATAGAGTACCTAGGCCTAGACCAGGTTTGGCCGCCTATCAGCAATTATAATGTTAAATAATATACACACGTTTATAAATTAACATTATTTTTGTTATATGATGTTGTTCGTCTTTATATAATAATTATGATGAGAACCCTCTCTAATAATATTGAGAAAACAAGAGGTTTGTCACCTAAAAAACTGTATTTTTTAAATTTCAATATGTAGGCCTAGGCCTAATGAATAAGAAAGTATAATACATACTCCAAGTATTGAAATGCATCGTGCCATTTCAATACTCCAAGTATTGAAATGCATCGTGCCATTTCAATACTTGGGAGTATGTATTTTCTTATCTGAGATTAATCAGTGGACCTTTCGGTTTATGTACCGGTAATGAATGTTTCATTTGTTGTGACAGATCATGAGCCTTGCTTCTGGTCGAGAAAAGCGAGTGACAGCTGGCAACCGGCTTGATCGTATGCTGGCTGAAGAAGCTGATGATGACGACTTTTACAAAACAACATATGGTGGTTTTTCAGAGGTACTGTAAAAACTGTGCAGTCAGTGACATAACAATGGGCCAGAGGCCCTGTGGCTTTCTGAGTGTTGGGGCCCTTATTGGGACTGGTTGCCAATTCCATTTTGTGGGATTTTAGTGCTCGTTTTTAATCATGTTTGTCATTGTATTCTAAATGTTTTCAACGATGAAATAGATATCAGTAGCTGATCCAGAGTTGAAATAGAGGGGTCCAGGCCCAGGGAGGGAGAGATGGAAGGTCTATACCTACTGTACCACCTCAGCCCCACCATGGTTGGGGCATAATTAAGAAAATTTATGAGTATGGTACCTCTATAGATGGCCAGAAATGGCACCCACAAACTTAAAATTTGAATATAATTTTCTTTTTATCTTCATTTTTAAAAAATTTGGACAAATTTAGGGGCCCCTTTAATCCACCGCTGGATATAATATCCTACAGCCAATGTCAGAGACACATTATGATGTTTATGTATCAACAAAGCGCTTTTTGGTCAGGGTGCTAGATTGAGGACACTATTGGTGGGTGGGTAGGCATTATGCCACTGCGTTTTGTGTGGTTATAAGATAATGTGCTAATTTGAGTCTAGTCATATTAATGTGACCAATTCAAATCTAAAATTATTTCAATTTGCATGCAGCAGTATGAATCCTTCATACTAAAGAATTGGGATCAGTCAGTAACCTTTCGTGCATCTCAGTTAAATGCTCTAGTTTGTTTTCATCTAAACAGACAGGGCAGAATTTATTAGAAAACTTTCATTGCCCATTTAAACGTGCATTTATTTTATTTGGAAGCAGTATTAAGAGACAAACATGTTTGTCCTCCTGCCAGCAGGAATAAGTATTGTTTGGAATACACTAAGCAATGTATCAAGTATTATCATCACTTTTCAGGTTGAATGACCAGCTAGATGTTGTTGTACAGGTTACTGGGCTTTTTAAAGTCACACTTAAAAGGATATGTCACACACACGCCCTCAGAAAACCTTTTAACCAATTACCTTGTTTGAAGATAAATAATGTTATTGTCATGTGGTAATGATGTCAACACTGATGAAAATAATACGCATTTCCTAAAACTTGTAAGGTGACAGGTGTATTTTCTTTTCCTAAATTCAGGAAGTTGATGATAATGAATATGAAAGTGAGGCTAGTGGAAATGAAACATCAAGTGACAGTGACATTAGTGCATCGGAGGACGATGAACCTGAATCGGACAATGAAGATGAGGGACCAAAAAGAAAGAGACGAGTTGTCACTAAAGCATACAAAGTAAAGCATTACAAGAAAAATGTAGTAGTAGCAGTCACTGTTGCAGGAATTGCCATTCCTAACGATTTTCTTAATTTTTAATTTAATTGTCATTACTGTAATTGTTTTATCAATTAAATTATTAACCTGTTATAATTTTTAATATATTTTTTGTTAAATTTATATTATTATCATTATTCTAAATATGACTTCAAAATTCAGAACAACAATAATTATAGCAATAATTGTTGTCGTTAATATGTCGTCACATCTTTTTCTTACATTAGGAGCCACCAAAGAAAGTTGCTCCATCTAAACCTAAAGTCACCAGTAAGTCTAGAGAAAAGACAACAAGTGAGAAGAAAACTCCCCAGAAAATGGACATAGACCCAAGGGAAGAAAATTTGTCTTCATCTTGTAAGTAATTGACAAATAATAAGATATGCAAGTGGAATGAAATGGAAAAAGAAATGTCATTTTAAAAAAACATTGTTTATTTTTTCTCTAATTTATAAATGGCATTATGTGTGTTCCTCATACCCACAACGCTAGATATCTTAACTCTTTTATTCCCAGCTCTGTCTACCATTTTGAGAAACTTGCACTTCGTTAGTAAGCTAAATTTTTTATATGTATCATTTTTAAACGGTTCAACTTTTTTTATTTAATTTTAATTATCTTTTTGAGTGATAGATTTCAAATATCTGCATGACATTTTAAACATTTTTTATCAATTGTAATTGCCTTTTCTTTGTATTGCCAGAGGAAAACAAATTTCCAGTTGTTTTTTGGGACAATAAATGTTATCTTTTAACTAACTGCAAAAAAGTTTCAACTTGAAAGGCATTCAAATTCAGATGTACATTTGATACCTCAACCATAACAGTTTGTTTTTCACTCACTCACTCATGGTCCACACCTGTAGCCAATATGTCAGATGTTCAGCATTAGTCTTCCAATCAGCTGCGGAATTTAAATATTTCTTACTTCCTGTTCTAAGCTCTTCAATTGAGATCTTTTATTGGAGTAGGGGAAGAACCTTAAAATACACATTGGGATTACTTGATGAATGAACAGTGCCCTCTAGGGACACCTTAGGATATCCTTTCGTCCAAGATATTAATCTACAGCTGTGGAACTGAAGTAAATAACTTAGCGTGCTTAACAGAATGGCGTCTGGTTGAGTACATACTGTTACTTGTTTCTTACAATGAATGGAGCAATAATGTGAAACGGATATAGCTTTGGCTCTAGTTAGGTATATTTGAGCTGTCGGGACAAAATAAGTTGTGTGGTACGAAAAATGAAAAATGAGTTATTGATATATTTAGATAGATGAATATATAAGCTTTATCTTGGTTTTTAAATCGTGTTCCTAGGTTGAGTAAAACCAGAGTAAGGTCAGTTTAAAGTTCAGATGTCTGAAAACATACTTATGAGAAAATCGCCGCTAAAGATAAGCAACTGATACATTTTGTGTTGGTTTTCCTATCAATTCTGAAAAATAGTTTTACAAAATGTGCCTCAAAAACATGATTGCCTTAGGTAACTCGACTCGGAACTTTTGCTACTATGAAATATTCATATTAAACTTATCAGAAAAACTGAAGCACAATTTTTGTCCAAATATCACTTAAGATATATTTTCTTGAATATATCGAATTGAATTGGCGTACCACAAGACTCATTTTGTCACAACAGCTCACAAGTACAGATTAACACCGTGGTATGAGATTAAGAATTATGAATGCCTAAAAAAAAGAACTTTACATTTTATAATAAAACTCAATATTTCTAAACGTTAGTACGAAAGTCATCAAGACGGTCTACAATACAAAGAGTGACAGAATTCAAAAGCAGAATCAAAGAACGAGAAGAAAGAGCCAAGAAAATGAAAGAACAGATATCAAAGAAAAATATGCCAGAAGTACGTCGTCTGACACAGGAAGAACTGCTGAAAGAGGCCAAAAAGACAGAAATTGAGAATATAGCATCTCTTAGTAAGTCCTACTGCATTTGATTCAATTAAGTGGTAATAATAATTTAATAAGCAACAATAATGACCAGTATACGTTACTTACTACTGGCTACCTAATTAGACAAAAAGAGGATAAAAAGTAATACTGTAATATATTTTTTTTCTAAGATGAACCCAACATAAACTTAATTATTTAAATAATTGATGCAGTTTATTGTTTTTGAAAGATGTTGATGATAACACAAATTAATTTTCTTGAATTGCAGAGGCATACCAGCTTCTAGAAGAAAGTAGGAAGAAGCAGAAATTTACAAAGCAGGTGTACAAAGGTCCAACGATCAAATACCGGTCAATGTCCATGCCGTTTGTTCAAGAGATTGCTCCAGAAACTAACAGTCATGATATTGTTGTCGACAATGACAGCATGTAAGTTGGTGATTAACATTCGCAATCCTACTCTGATTTGATTTCAAACTTTAGTTTCCATAGTTCTATTTGTTAATAAAGAGTAACATTCATTTTAGTAGAGTATACTGTATATATATTTTTAATTGATATATTAGTAATGTAGTGTCGTTTTATAATGCGTTAAAGCCCATTTTCTGTCGTCGTGTCTCCAATGTGTTTAGTTAAGGTTCATTTTTTCACCTTCTGTTTGTTTTATGTATTTCTTCTGTAAGTGGCTAGTTTGTTGTAATTATTTTTACTAAAGTATTGTATTTATTTATTCTTGATTTGAGGAAGTAAATGATAGTTTCATGTCCAAAGGCATTAATTTCTTTTTTATAATCTTATATTAGGTCCCGAACCAGGTCATCAACTGAACAGAAGAAATGTTCAAGAAACTTCATTACATTCAGCGACGTGAACACGTACAATGAGTACTTCACGCACAAAAAAATGAGAAGCCACGGAAAGCAGATATGTCCTGTTACACGACTCCCTGCCAAGTACCTTGATCCCATCACAAACATCCCTTACGCAACTATACAAGCTTTTAAGTTGATCCGAGAGACATACGTACCGGATCATACTGAGGCGTTGCTTGAATATAGAAAAACAATCAAACACTACCCACAACCAAAAGCCAGTTAATCACAACTACATCTGTATTCTTTCATACTATTTTGTAAATTAAACTGACAAAATGTACAACTTTTCCTTAAATTTGTATTTATTTCTTTGTACTTTGCACATACTAAACAAAAAGGTATTAATTATAATAAATGTTCTGTTTTTTTTTATTTGAGAAATTACATTTCCTTTATTTGTTATTTATATTTGGGGAACATTATCAGTGGTGGATCCTGGAATTTAAAACAAAGGGGGCCCGGGGAGAATCCTATAGGTGGCCAGAAATGGCACTCTCGGACAAGAATTTTGGACTCTTCCTTGGTGACTTAAAAAGCTGACCTTAACTGTTTTAGACTGGGTCGGTAAGAATGGGCAATATTTATTTTTTTATGCTTTATTATTCTTATTCTTATATTATTATGTTACATTATGTTTTGTTGAGATAAAAAATCCTGGTTTTTGAAACAATCAAATTGATGAATCATGGTGTACTCGCAGTCTAGATGCTGATGATAAGAAGCTGAAGTTATCATTACTCAAACAAATTTAACTATACAGTATAATTAAAATCCAGGAAAAAAACTGCAGATCTATGAAATCTGATAAAGCACAACATTGAAAATGAATGCTGTACTCTACTCAACATTACGACCACACTCAACTGTACGACACCACTCACACAAAAGTTTAAATTCAAATAAGTTGTCATATATAATGGTACTAAATTTATTCTTAAGATTTAAACAGGATTTCTATCTAAAAAAATAGACAAATTATATACATATATATGCCTTGGTAATAGGAATGCTGGCGATAGCTCTTTGAATTTTTTACTAATAGTTATCATCAAACAGATCACGCTTGCGTTCGGAATAGTGTCGTTTGAAGCTGTCGTCAAATAATTCCAGATCATGTTCGCTTTTTATAACGCCCTGAAAAAGAAAAGAATTGGAACATTACTATTTAAAGATGTAAATAAAAAAACCCCTTTTCCAGGTTTGGTCAGTGTGGGCTACAAATTGGTTTGAGTGAAATGGTATATTAAAGAAATTTATAATGATATGATGACTAACCTTCGGCAGGTATCCAAGAAGTTTCTGAGCGTGCTCTCTAAGCAGGCGTTGTCTTTCCTCCTCAATAATTTGTTTACGGAATTTCTCGCGTTCCTCCTCTTCTCGTCGGTCCATCAACTCTCTCTCCTTGTCAGCAGCAAACTGTGCCCGTCGGTCTTCGATGAGAGTCTCGACTGCACGCTTGTGCTCAAGCTGTTTCATACGCCGCTTCTGTGCATTCATTTGTTCAATACGATCATCCTCAGCAAATTTAGCCAGCATCTAGTTTTAATAACGATTTACATAGTTTAGAATTACGTTTTATATTAGAGAAGACAACACTTGATTAATAATGAAAGGAGGTACGAAACTCTAAAATTCACAATATCGAGTTTTATGTGACAAATATTTGTGATTTACCTATCATATTGGTGTGTCATATGACATCATCATGTCCATATATGGGCAAATCACCTATCATATTGGTGTGTCATATGACATCATCATGTCCATATATGGGCAAATCACACAAATATGTCACAGATCTTGATACTGTGGACAGGCCTTTAAGAAGGTATTTTTGACAGCAAAGTAGAGACAACAAAAAGAGAGAATGACAGTTTGGGCACCAATATAGACACAATAGGGAGCCTTTGATTTGTTTGACAACGGTACAACGGAATCACTCATGCGTGACCGTCCTACCAGGCCTCCTACGTTTTCTGCATATGTAGATTAGGCCAAATTATGTCCTAGAATCCACGCAACAAGAACTTAACGTCCTTACATGCGCAGATTACTGTTGGTGACGTTATTACGTTGGACGTCCTACCGTTGTCGTGCATTCAAAAGCTCCCTATCGACAGAGTTGAAATGCCTTTATTCTCACCTGCTTTCGGAATTCCTCCTCTTCTTCCATCTGGGCTTGGAGACGCAACTGTTTGAGTTGTAACTGTTGACGATTACTAGTCTGCAGCTCGAGACGTTGGCGTACTCGTCTGTTCAATTCATCCTTCTCTTTCTGTCGTTCCATCTCTTCTTGTTCTTCCAAATACAGTTCCATTCGTACTCTTTCCATTTCTTCCTCTTCAGCCCTTTCTGCAGCGATTTTTCGGCTAAGCTGAATAATAAACACAATAATAATGTTAACAATGTGCTTCATGGGATTTGAAGAGAAGCACCACAGCCACTGACCTACAGCTCCCTCTTACAACAAACCTTTAAGCCAGGCACTCATTGCATTGTACGACTCGCACGACGAATTCAATTCCGCTCCCTGTGAGCGCTAGAAGACAAGACACCGTCTGCTAATTGGCGGTGGCAGTCTGAACGGATCCCGTCATTAAAAACGATCCGTTGTGCATGCGTCGTCGCGTTGTGTTCTTTATAGAATCGCGTCAGCCGACGACCGTCGGGCGTGTTGAGTGCCTGACTTTAGATAAAAATTTTAATCCAACAACAGAATGAAACTTGAACCACTTAAAACTACAGTAGAATTATTAATTAAAGGATAAAATATCAGACCAAAATTAAAATAAGAAATTATAAAAACCGTAAAAATTAATAAAACAATTTTTAGAAATTTTTTTATGTATTACTATCAAAAAATAAATGGAATTGTCTTGAACACAAACATTATACATGAGAACAGCTAGCTCAGTCGGCTAAAAACTGGTGGTAGTCACTGTGGATGCACTGAACCGTGGAGATCTCTTGGTAACCGGTGCAATTCCCATCGATGGTCTCTTTGTGTTTCAGCTGGACGGCTGAAATGGCCCAAGTGCACGTTAAAGAATGTAGTACTGTACACTCTTCAGAAAAGAGTCGGTGATTGTCTCCCAGTGTACTGCCCAATTCACCACCTGAAGGACCCCACTGGAAATAAATCTTAGAGGGTGGGTTATTCCTGGTGTGTATCACACCAAGAAATCCAATCCACCATAAAGACTACAACTACAGGACAAGAATCTATTTTTGGTAACAATGACGCAACAAAAAAAATTTACTTACAGCATTTTGTACTTCAGATTTATGTTCTTCCTTTTCTCTCTTAGACTGCATTCGTTCTTCTTCTCTGTTACGCTGAGCATTAGCGAATTCTAAAATCTTACGGTTTTCTTCCTCCATACGTTCCTTTTCTTTATCCATCCATAATTCTCTGGCCTTCTTGAATTCATCTACGTACCTTTTTGTTGCTTGTTGTTTTGCTAAGTAGAGTTCTCTTTCTCTGTTGATTAAAAAAAAAGTGATATAAACACATTTATTTTATTTAATTATGTTATTTAAAAAATAAATCTAAACAGACAAAAATATATAAAAGCTGATTAAACCAGAAGCACTACTAAAATGCTGTCACTGGTAAGCTGTGCTTCTTTTTTCATATTATATTTTTTTTCTATTGAAATATATATTGCATTTATATGATGAAATTAAGGACCAAGTATTTTATCATTCATCATTATTACTAATTATTATTTTATATAATTTATTAAATTCCCCCTTTCAGATTTTGCCTTATAATATCATACTATCATATTTTAATACAAATGAGAATTTTCTTTTTTGATTGTATTAAGCAAACATAATTTTCTCCTACCTTTGATCCTCTTCATATATCTTTCGTACTATCTCGTCTATCATTAGCTTTTCTTTTAAGAATTCCTCATAACTCTCCTGCTTTTTACGTTCCTGTTCTTCTAGTTGTTTTTCTAGCTCTTGTTGGTAGCGGACGCTTTCCTGCCAGCGTTCCTTTAACTTCATTCTCTCCTCGTGGTCAGCACGGGCAGATTCCTCTTTCATCAGCCGTGCAATCTCTGAATCGCGTGCCTACAGGAATGTCAAAGAATATCCATATTTGAGTATTGAATATATGAAAATTAAAAGTAGTCAATTGATGTAAGGTACAGTATCTTTGACATCGAAGTATTATTTTTATTTATATTTCTACAATCATTATATTTTATCAATGGCTGGTACAACATTTCAACAGTTTGAAAGATGTATTGCCCCTTGAAAATAACAAAAAAATTATAAAAATCATTTTGAAATTAACTTGCTCATGTTGCAGTAACATACAAATTATTAACTTGAGCATAACAATTATTTAATTTAAAAAAATGTGTACCCTGATTTTTAAACTGGATAATTCAAAAATGATTTTTACAATTTTTTTGGTATTTTGCAAGGGACAATACATCTTTAACTAGCACACAAGGTAAAATCTTTACAGCTTTGTAATACTAATTGAAAAAGTTTACTAAGCAAATGAAAGGTGAAAAGCAACAAAATTGAGAAGGTTATTTAGTAGTCAAATGGAAAGGTGATAAGGAACAAAACTGAAAAAGTTCACCTAGTCAAATGGAAAGTTGATAAGAAACAAAATTGAACAACTTTACTTAGTCAAATGTAAAGGTGATGATCGGCTGACTGCGGTATTGCAAAGGGCGCCCCCGCAATCACATGATTCTTTTTCATTGGATAGTCAAAACAACTTTACACCTACAATGATTGACACCAAAATAGTGGCTCTCACTAACAATAACTGACAGGTGTCAATTAGCACCTCACACATGCAAGTGCTCAACTGCAATATTGTTACATCCGCTCTTTTAACTATGTAAAAACTGTGGCACAAACCTCCTAATTAAGCAAGGACTAAAAGTCTCTGAATAAAGGATAACAATTTCCGGAAAATTTATGGTCAGATACTTACCGTTATTTCATATTGCATGGCCTCCTTCTCAGCCCGTTGAGCAGCTCTCTCTCGATTCATGTAACCTGCCTTGAGTTTAGCCTCTAGTTCTCTCAATTCGATACTATTTTCTCTTATTTGTTGTCTCATCTTGGCATCCCGTAACTCTTCTAATTTCAATCTTTCTAGCTCCAAAGCCAGTCGTTCTTCTTGTTCCATCTGCTGTTCTCTTTGTTGTTTCAATGCTTGAGACTTTAAAAACGGTAAAGATAGATTAAACCTTACCATATAAATTATCTGTTCCTAACAAATTTGTAGGTAGGTTTTATACTGATAATGTAAGACTAAGGGCGTGTTTGGGCGAGTTTTTTGTGGAGTCTAACACGGGGTAAATCCAGAAACAGCCATTTCCAGTTCTAGCTCGAACGGGTGTTAAATGCGGACCGCCTGCTGATATCCGGTGATAATCCAACGCTGCAAATTGCAGTGTTATGGATGAGCAAAAGCAGCATGCGTTAGCAGCAGGGAGCATTTTTTATCACTCAATCCCCTTTGACTGTTTTAACACATGGCATAAGTAAAGTCTGTTTAAATGTTCATGGTCCCTGCTTCTTTCACAGTTCATTTCCAAAAACAAAACTGAAATACTTGATAAAATAAACTATTTCAACTGAGGGCTAGCCTAGAATCCACATTGCTACCTTATTACATATGTATGCCACATGCATACATGATCATGGCACCACTGCTTACTACTATGTAAACCAAACTTGTTTTCAATTTATTTTGTTTTTTCAAAATTCATGTACATAACAGTATATGTACTGTACGGTACTATCTTGAAAAGAAGCCTAAGTAATTTTAAAATGGGCCTCTTTTCGAGGCTAATTTTGCGAACTAAAGAAGGGGGGGGGCTTCAATTCGAGATGGGCTTCTTCTCAAGATTAAGCCTATTGGGCTTCAATGTGAGGTTTTCTGGTATCTAATAAGTGGGGCTACGTGAAAAGGTCTTATATTATTTTACCCTTGAAATTGCTTCCTCCATTTCAAGTTCCTTTTGTTCTTGTTGTAATCTACGAAGGTAACGTTTTGTTTCCACTCTTTCTTCACTTTCCATATTGGCTTCTAAAACCTTCTCTTTCGTCAGTCTTTTTAAGTGATCCTCTCTGTCCTCTTCCCTGCGTCGTGTATCAGCTAACACCTTCTGCTGCTGTGAATGGGTGAGATTTCTTCGCATCATTGCCTTTGTAAAAAATAAACATCCATTCAGACTTCAGTTAGCAAGGATCAGGTGTAGTAGTATATACATTTTGCAGCAGATTTGGCCTTGTCATAGGTCCCAATAAAAAACTTAAACTTGTGTAAGTATTAGACTACAGTATTACGCAGCAGTTATAATTCTGTGCACCTATAATTTTTCTAGCGATTTCCAGCACAAATTTGAGTTTTTGATGCATCATCCCTCTGGGCAGCAGTGTGGCCACAGACTAGCCTGCACCTAGCCGCCTCCTACCCCAGAGGCTAGGCTACATAGCCTACCTGTTGGGGAGGGGCAGGTAGGTCCTAGCTGCAGCACTCCACTGTGCACTTCCTCTTGATTTCTGTTCTTGCATCTATATACTCAATATTTATACTAGGCCTAGCCTGCCTAGTACTAGGCCTTCTTATTAGACTTAGTAGAGGCTCTACTCTACTAGACACGCCTACTAGTTGGCACTTAGGCTTAGGCCCGGTTAAAGCCTGAGCTATAGCCCAGGCCTAGTCTAGGCCAAGCTCTGGGAATGAGGCCTGGTCTATCTCTCTAGTCTGGACTAGGACCTAGGCCTAGGTAGGCCTCCCATTAAACTAGGGGCCGCCTAGCCTAGGCATGGCTATTGCTAGCCCCTAGGCCTACCCCTCTAGCCTAGGCTAGCTCTCTAGGCTAGTAGGATATTATTGAAAATTAAATGTTTTTGACGGAAAGTTATTCAAAAATGTATGAATAAAATACTTCTTACCATATTGATACTTAGGTCTAATGCGTCTATTTAACAATAAGATGAACTTGGACAGTAGAATATAAAATTATATTTGAGCACTAAATTCAACCTTCGCCATTCGTGATTGTTTTGTAAGTAACCAAGGTACTCTCCGCAGTTCCAAAATGGCGATGAAGTTGCGCCCTCTATAGTACAATCACATGAAAACTTTCGGACTGTAGTGCAGAAATAATTAATAATCACCTACCCAAATCAAATTAATGTAAACTTGAAAATAAACAAAAGTAATTGCTTAATTTGTATCAATAGGTTATTGGATTTCAATTGAAAATTAGAACCAAAAATGTCTCCCCAAATACCGAAATTTTAAATAATACAATTCCTATATTATTAAATGCTTGCGGTGCACCATGTCTCGACGTTTGGATTGAGTTGCTTCAATCGTCATTTTCCTGATCAGGGGCGGATTTAGGGGGACCGGGTCGGCCCGCCCGCACCGCCTTTTTGAAATTAAAAAAAAAAAAAAAAAAAAAGAAAGAAAGAAAAAGAAAAAATTGATCACCCAAAACGCATCAGAGTTTATTTTCGGGCGTCTAGAAAACAAAAAATTCGCGGACACCCTGTGGTGGTGTTATCCCGATCGGCTCCACTTTCGCCCCCCCCCTCCGCCCCTTTTTCGGGCATCTCTGAATCCGCCCCTCAATCGAAACGTCAAGACATTCTCAACAAAAACAGTCCTTTCAGACCTATTTACGTGGTGTACCGCAAGCATTTAATATATTCGCCATGTAAACATTCAAACTATATTAATATCCTGAAAATTCGCGACACAAGCAATTGTAAGGATGTTTGTAAGCCATTGAAAACTTCTACTTCTACGATGATAGGCCTACTCTGCATAGTCCAAGGTTTGGATGTTCCGCAGAGGTCAAACTTCTCGTTTTTGATCTGTAACATATTGACACTTCATGTATGTGGCCATCACAGTAGTTTGAGTATATCGCAGATAATTATTGCGGTATTAAAATTTATTATTATTCCATCTGTTAATTTCGATTGAGTGCATTTAGTGCGATTTATAGTCCGATTTTTTAATTGTTTTCTGTAAACGTAGGCATATTAAGCAGCATTTGGGAAAAAACACACAAAACAGACATTTCTTCTTACATAATATCTAAGCTATGAGTACACAACTTAAATAAATGGATATAACATAGGCTGGCGGTTTTTTTTTTAAATTATTTTTGCGAATTTTTTTGTTGTGTTTTGTAGGCTTGGTTTTTGCAGGAAAGTTCACCCTGCTTTTTCTAAATAAATACTATTTATATAGTATATATACATTTAATTTTATAAATAGGCCTATGAAAGATCACGGGAAAAAAAATTGCATCACATAGTTTTTTTTTCCCCATCCACTTCATAAAAATATTCATAAACCAAACATGACCCACATAACAATATGTTATCATATTATGTAGGTCGTTGTTTATTACCGCTCTGTATTAGTTTGAAAGCTCTTTGGTTACTTTAGCTTAATTGGTATGTATGCCCGGTGCCCAGTGGACCGGATAGTGAATCAAGCCAACCTTTCAAGCTCTCGTTTCGGTTAATAAAAGCTTTCACTTTGATGTACTTATCGCATTAATCTTTCGTTAATATTCTGGCAATAACATGATTCTAAACTTAGTAATGTTCGTATGTCACTGATGGGTGGAGATGCCCGGGATTTACTTCCTTTTTCTTACGATGTCAGAAAACATGGACAATAAAACTTCCTTATTTATACATCGGACTACATTAATGTTATTACAATAATTGTTCCTGTTATTGTTATTGCTATTGTAGGTGTTGTTATTGTTACTACTACACCTACATGCACACCCACCCACACACCCACACACCCATATATCTGTCTCTTATACACATCTAGATGTGTATAAGAGACAGCTATTTCAACTGAGGGGATATAAACGTACATATTAATCCAAAATCTTGATATCTTGCTCGAAGGGGAACACATTTATGATTCAAATGAATCATTGTAATCCTACTCATCATGTTAAGGGGAAGTACCTATATCTGATAACAAAACCTAAAAATGAATATTGATTATATTAAAAATTAGAAGAAAAAAAAATAAAAATTCGAAATGATAAACACGATCCCATGGTGGTTCCAGAATTGTGTGAATCTTTCACCCCGTGTTGACTTAAATATAGGTCCTATTATGGGACGTCATCGTTATTGCTGTTATAATTATATTGATATTATTAACCTTCATGAGGTTTGATTTTATATAGCCTACTATACGATTACTATTATTATTGTTGCTCCGAGGTTGCGGGTTTCGGCTACTCTAAGTGTCTGACCACTGGCCCTGTATCAGACCAAGAATAATGGGGAAAATAATTTTACTTCCCAAGATGGTCGTTTCGCTATAAAATACATATGCTAAAGGCCAGATTTTTTTGATAAAAAATTAACCCAATGATAGATCTTTAAGAAACTAGACGATGAAACATAGGCCCATAGCAACCCGATAATGGAACGGATATCCTCTTCTACTGCTATCACACGTATTCAGCTGTACTTCGAAAGACCTACTCAGACTGCACGCATGCTTAGAAGATTTTCATGAAAGCGCCGCCTGGCGAGAAAGGAGCGTAACGCTCGCAAAGAGAAATTAACTGGAGTTTGCGAACGACCAGCTAGCGAACGGTCTGGCGATTGAAGTACTTTTATATTTGGACTTAATGTTTTATACTGCAACATGAGATACTTGTACTTTGGACTTATACTCGGATTATTTCCAACCTGTGTCTTTGCTCAGTTCCTAAGTCTTAACCCAAATGGAAGAAATGTGTGTAAGAAAATGTAAGTGGAGTCTTGAACATGTTTTTTCTGGGCCACTGTTTTCAATAGACCATATTTATGTATTAATATATATTGTTATAAACGACTAACAACAAAAGTTCTAGGCAATTGCTTATAGGGCTAGGGGATCAGGTAGAATTTAACTTTGAGTTAATATTATTTTCAGTGCATTCCGGGCTATAAGGTAAGTTGCGTACTCTCCGTAGTTGTAAAAATATGGTTTTATGTTTTACCTTTTGCATTTGAATTGTTTCCTTCACAAAATATAAACTAAGGGATCATCGCGAGAGTTGCCAGGATTATTGCAGATACAAACTGATTTGACAAATTAACATGTGCCAAGTAAATATGCAACAGACTTGTTTAATAACTTTATTAGACACTACCAACCATTTTACTCAGCCTCGCTGGAATGACTCGATAACTAGATTATTACGGAAAAGGAGGAAATTCGTGACTGATGAATAATATGGTGTGAAATAAGCAGGGTATGGTTATGACATGTGCCCCTGACTCAGGTCCCGATTCAGGAAGGCAACGATTCTAACAGCTAGGGGCGTCTTGAAGGTGGTAGTGGAGGGTAGCGGAGAAGGGGGGGATGGGAACATTTTTCTAAATGAACCAGATACAAACAGCATATAATATTAATAATGTCACACAAGGAACACATTAGAATGTATTAGCGGACCTGGTTTCACGACCATATTCAGGTATTTTTCCTGTGGTCCTATATTTTCTCGGGGATCCCCGACTAACGTCAGAATGATGCCAACGAATTGGCACTTCATTTTGAAGGTTGAGTACGGGCACAAGGACAGCATTTTGAGCTTTTTTATCTTCATTGCTTCTCTCACCCAAGAGAGAAGCAATGGGTACATGGGACCCGGGTAGGCGGCCTGTACGGGGATCATAGTAGGCTACACCACAACTAGAGCAGAGCAGGAAGCACATTTTGCATGGGAACATTGTAGGCAGCCTTTGGCAAATTGTGGTTGTCTGTTGTATATATAGTGTTTTATTGTAGTTATCCATATATATGACAGTGTTCGAATATAATACCATTATGGTTGCTATTGTCACTATTGATGGTATGGCTTGTGTGTAAGGTACAATATAACAAACAATATAATATACAGTGTATTAAGCATCACATTTCATAGTATTCAACTGACGTCATTAGAACCTGTAATTACTGAAATATGTTCTAGATTAATTCTATTCTATCGCTATAGAAAGTCTTACATAGGCCTAAAGGTCAGTTGGACAGGAAAGCTGATTTATTAATTATAGTTCATAGTGGCTGTTATTATTATTAATATCTGTTGGTCTGGTTAAAGTGTCGTGTATTTGTACACACAGTAAACTTGATTTATGCTGCATAGGCCTGTATTTTTTTTTTTTTTTTAGTCTGGTTACTAATGCTTTAAACTATGACTCGGTGAGTAAGCGTGGCGGTACGCTCGGTACATGTCTCATACACGTCGGCCAGGGCAGCTGCAACGTATGCGATTCTTACTTTTGAATAGAAAACTGAAAGGAGTACCTGTTGAAGATTAGCAATCATAACAATATTGATGATAGTAATAATGCTATCCAGGGATGACACACCCATGCAGATAGCTGATTCAAAGGTGTGGGCTAATACAGACATGGAAATTTATAAACAGGTGTAAAGTGCGCTAGTTCTTTTGAACATTTTGCATAACAAGCTGGCCTGTTGGACATTAAACTATAAACTATTAAAAATATGTTAAGATTATTTTAACGTTAAAATGTAAGGCCATTTTTATTTTAACTACTATTATCAAACTAAAGAAAATACTGTAATCTTTTTTTATTTGTTTTAACTTTTAATTATGACGTCACACAACGTCATTCTCTTCTCTGTCCTGGCATGCTACTTTTAATATTTTTACATGCTAGGTTCATCCATATATGCATGCCTGTGTGCAGTATCGACCTAAATACCAGGGATAACAATATACATTCATGGGGGTTGTCCGGCAGGGGAATGACAATTCGTCGGAGACCAGTTAGACCCTGGTGCGGGTCAAGAACGCCCTGGCGCCTAGCAATATAGGGCATTGTTGAGCCATTTTAAGCTAGTTGTTCTGAGATTTTTTAGAACATATATTATGCCCAATGAACCAAAAAAGCTTATAGATGATGTTCATGGGTGATATGATTCATGCTAAATGGTAGGTGCATCCGTGATATGCCTCATTTCACCCCTGCCACGATCACCCAAATTATATTTTGTCATTTATAGACGATT